AAGAAAATAAGAAATTCATCTCAAATTCGATGTATTGTCTAATAGTCATACATATGTGAACGCAAATAGTCAGATTTTTGGTCAATTTTGAAATGATGTGAGCAAATCCATTTATTGCATTGTTAAATACTATTGACCTATGGTGTAGTTTCTTTGGTCGTACAATTTGATTTGGAGGTACTTGTGAAGATATTCCACTATTTTTAATGCGGCTAAATATTTTTGATGTAACAGGTGAACTATAGCTATGATATGAGCAAACTATACTAACAAATTATCAAATTTTTAAAGAAAAATTTCAACAAAAATTTTCGAGGTTATTATATTTCAATAGAATTCTATAAGCAATTCAAATAGATATTCTAATGCAATTTTCGTTGGCAAATTTAAACAATAATTTTAATTTGTAACAATATTTTTTCTAACAATAATTCCAATGATTCTTTTCTAATAGTTAGAATATTGGCGAAGAAAAATATTCCAACAAAAATTGCATATTGCAATTCAAAAGTATTGTTAAAAACAGCAGTGGAGGCATTAAGAACTATACCCGGGCCCGGGTGGGTGTACAAGATTTGAACCTACATTATTTGATAAAAATTAAGTATATGTTATCTGTTTATATTCTAGCCCGTAAGAATTAATTAGCCAACTAAAGAAGGCCAATTATATTATCAAATCCCTTCAAATCCTTATATTACTCTCATATTTATTAAATTGGTAGTTTTTTTTTTCTATTTTTTGTTTTTTTTTAAATCATATTTCTTGTTGATAATGAGCTATTGAACAAAATTAAGTTGATTTTTCGTTTTAATATTATTATTATAACCATTATTATTATTTAGTAATATGTTTTCTTGTTATCAATAATGATGTTTAAACGGCTCCTATGAAATCCTAAATTTGAAATTTTGTTGTTAAATTTTTTTGTCTTCTGCTTTGCATTTCATGGAGAATAATTAAATTATTTTATTTTTGTTGCTATCACCTTATTCTATTTTTTATCATTTTATAATTTTAAGGTGTAGGTCTTATCTGCTTGTTGGAGACACATATTTATAAGCAAGAATATGATTAATCCATAAGTTAGTCCAAAATATTTTTTTATTATTTATATTTTTAAGATTTTATTTTTTTTGGGAAACAACTTAAATCAGTTCTTTCTTTCAAGATATTCACAATGGGAGCGGAATTCCTTATAGATTTATGATTATCTATATTAATAAGAGCTAGTTTGATTACAATGCTCCATAGAAAAAAAAATATTTTACTTTAAGAATATTCTATACAAATCATTTTATTCTTACTCGAAAAATATTTAACATGACTATAAAAATTGAATAATAACAGTTTCTAAAACTAAAATTCTTAAATGTAGTTTTAACAGGTTTTTATATAATGTTTTCAATGTGAACTTTGTTAGAAATACACTAAAAATTACCTTATTTATATTATATATATGCTCATATAAATATACATATTATTCTCTTTTATTGATCAAAATAATTTTAGCCCGAGTATATTTTGAATCCTGGCTCCACCCTGGTTAGAAACATCAAATTTCAACTAAATTCGATATAAAATTAATTTTGATAAAATATTTTAAGTTTGATACCACAATTGAAAATTTTTCAACGGGAGTTATATTTCGTAGTGTATCAGTACTACATGGAAAAACAGTAAACATAAAGTAAAATACTACTTTTTTTCAATAGATTTTCCCAATTATTAAAGAAAATTTTACTTTGCTTTAATTAGGCTAATTATAGATAAAATAAAATCAAAAAATAAAATAAAGTTGGCACTTAAATAGTGGTAATAATCTTGTTATTAGTTTGTTCCATACTTTCTGTCCGTTTTCCTTTAAACTAATTGGGACAAAAATTTTTTCCTTTTGGTCAACAACTGAAAGAGTTGACTAATTAACATGAATGATGTGCTAACATAACAAGCAACATGTGAATAGGCAACTTGCCCGAAAATAGAGACCAAACTTATATTAATATTTAGTTAAAAGTAATAAAAATGTAATATTGCTGAACAGTAACAGGTGTCTTAATACTATAATGCTTTATTTATTATTTTTGTTATTTCTTAGTTCTTACCAAGTCGCATATCGATTATTCATAGGTCGAGTGATATTTTTAAGTTAATATTTATATATTTTCTTTACATCACATGATTTTGATATAGAATGCTATTAACTAGGTCTTTGAAGCATCTTCATGATTAGAAATAACAATATTGAGATTCTATTTCAGATTCTAATGGAGAATTAATCTACCATAAATTCTAAAATAAAATCAATTTCAATCAGAATATTTTTATTGTAATTGTTATTGAAAATTTTCAATTGAACTTACCTTTCTTTTTCATGTATCATATGATTTTGATATAGGATGCCATTTACTAGGTATTTAAAGCATCAACGTATTTCGAAATAACAAATATTGTGATTCATTTTCCAGGTTCAAAGGGATAACCAATCTTTCATAAATTTCAATAAATTATCAATTCAAATAGAATATTTTCGTTAGACTGTCCCTAGAATTTTCCGACATAAGTTATGATATTGAAATATTTATTGTAATTCTGTTGGAATATATATTAAAGTTTAAATAACAAAATAATACTGCTAAAGATCCCCAAAAGGAATTTCATGGACCATAATACTTATATTATTTTTGTTATACTCACAATTCAACACTAACTATTAATAAGGGAACTTGCAATCCCAAAATTTTTGGAGAATTCTGTTTCTAGTTAAATAGTCACAAACATATTACATATTGGACTAGTATTGTACTGAATTTTGCTAGGCTATTGCAGAACCAATTAAGAATATGTCTCGACACTAATTAATTATTTTAAACTTTAAACCCTTTTCTAAATTTGTAAAAATAGTAAATGATCAAAAGGCCCACATGAGATATATGGAGCAAGCATCACAAGCTTTAGCATTCGTGATTAGAGGCTTTAGTGCTTATCAGAGGACCCCCAAACAAATAAAGCAACTTTATTCGATTTTTTATTTAGAAATATAAATTTTTTATTTATTTTATTTAAATTTTTTTTAACAAAGGGAGTAGCATCCATTCCCCAGCTATATGTGGTCGAAATTCAAATTTCCAGTTTTCTTCAATCGCAATCATTAGACAAGAATTTGCTTTTTTCACTGCACTATTTCTTCTTCATCATTTTTAGGCCACGGTAGCAAAATCGAATCGAAACTGAAAACCCAAATTGAATCGTGCAGTTTGGTTGGATTCGGTTCAAGTACTTAGTGTAGAAAACTTCTAGTGCAGCTTTTTATGTGTTGTGATGCAGTTTTGTTTTTTATTTTTTATTTTTGTTTAGAGCGTTTTTTACACGAATCGAATAAAAAATATAGAAAACCCAAAAAACCAAGTCGGATTGTACAATTCAGTGCAGTATTGCTCAATTGTTTTAGTATTGAAAATTTTTTGTTTGATTGTTCATGTTGTGGTGCGATTTAGTTATTTTATTTTCACAAATACAATGTTTAATAGTTTTAATTTGGTGTGATTTTGTGCGAACTGAACACAAAAGTATGGAATACTTGAAAACCTAGTTGAATCATGTAATCTGGTGCATCTCAGTTCGATTTGGTTATTTTTGAGTTAAAAAAATTCCGTTGGTTTTGTGTTGTGGTTCGATAGTATTTTTCACAAGTTCGATTTTTTTTTTTATTTTTTTTTTTCCAATTCAGAGCGACTTTGTACGAACTGAAACAAAATGTATAGGAAAACCGAAAAATCGAGCTAACCGCACAATTTCATCATGTCCGATTCGGTTACCTTTANTAGAATCAATCACCCAACAATTTTGTTCTGCTTTTCGTAATCACCTATTCCCACTCGAGGTTCAGTTATTCACGCAGAAAACCAAATTCAACTCAAACCCCAGAAAAAATGCATTCGAGTCATCTGCTGCTCGAGGAGCCAATCCGGATGGCCACCATCCTTGAGCCATCCAAAGCTGTGAGTTTTTGTGTATTTTTTATTTTTTTTAATCAATTGGGTGAAAGTTTGTGAGTTCGTGTAGATCTGTTTTTCACGCAATATGGGTTTGATTTGGTTTATTCGGGCTTTGGGTGCAGAGTTTCTTCCCTGCTATGACGAAGATTGTAGGGACTCTCGGCCCGCGCTCGCGATCCGTTGAGGTTATTTCATCTTGTCTTAAAGCTGGAATGTCTGGTAATTATTTTTTTTCTTTTTTTCCTTTTCTGTTTGTTACAAACTGTCAAAACCAGGTCAAACCCAAATTTTATATATAACTTATTTTCCAACACTATTTTCATCGAAAGCTAATGTTTTGGTTGATGATGACCAAATTTTATTTTTTTATTATTATTTTTATTTTTGTATTGTAGTGATGGAGTTTAGTGAGAGGTTGAGCTACTTTGGCATAGCCACAAGCTTGATCATATACCTTACAAAGGTAATCGGACAAGACTTGAAAACGGCCGCAAGGAATGTCAATTACTGGTCGGGCGTCACCACAATGATTCCCTTAATCGGCGGCTTTCTTGCCGACTCTTACCTCGGCCGGTTTCACGCCGTTTTAGTCTCCTCCATTATATACCTCATGGTAAAACCTAAAAACTACTAAATAATAAAAAAATTACCACCCTTTCATTTTTTCGATTTTCGATCTTTTCGTACACGTGTCTTACCTTGTTTTGTCTCGTGTGGAAATCAAAAAAAATATAGGGGTTGTTCGTGATGACCTTGTCGCGTGTAGTCCCGGGGCTTAAGCCCTGCTCAAGAGGCGTCGACACGTGTCCCAAGGCACGGGACATCCACGTGGCGTTCTTCTTCCTCGCGCTTTACTTGATCTCGATTGGGACGGGTGGGCACAAGCCGTCGCTCGAGAGCTTTGGTGCTGACCAATTTGACGACGACCACCCGGGAGAGCGAAAGAAAAAGATGTCGTTTTTCAATTGGTGGAACACGGGGCTTTGTGCCGGGGTGTTACTAGGGGTGACCGTGATCGTCTACGTGCAAGACCACGTGAGTTGGGCTGCGGCCGATGTCACGCTTACAATTGTTATGGGCCTTACGTTGGTGGTTTTTTGGGTTGGGCGGCCGTTCTACCGCTTTCGGAGGCCCACGGGTAGCCCATTCACGCCACTTGCGCGGGTGGCTGTCGCGGCTTTTGTCAAGAGGAAGCTTCCGTGCCCGTCAGGGAGTGATGGGCTTTACGAGGTTCCGAAGGGGGACAAGGGGGCTCGTGGGAGGCTCCTCTTCCGCACGGATCGACTCAAGTAAGATTCTTAAGTTTTCCTTTTTATTTTTTTTTAAAAAATTTTTTTTATGGGCAGTTTCGCAGTTGATTTCCCACACACCCATGTGAGTGTGTCTGTGTGAGTTTATGTGTGAAAAAAGCTTGCATGATTGAATTTTCCTTAAATGTAAGTGTTAAGATTTCAAATAGTACTACTTACTTACATATGATTAGAATTTTGGCAAGCTAAAAGTTGAATTAATCAAGAATATGACAAAAACTACTCTGTTTTTCCCATGAATCGTAGTTATGTTTTCAAATAGTACTACTTACTTACATATGATTAGATTTCAAATAGTACTATTTACTTAAATATGATTGGACTTTTGCCTAAGCTCAAATTTGAATCAAGAATCTAACAAAAAACCTCTCTATTTTCTCCCCCACCCGAAAAAAAGGTTCCTCGACAAGGCCGCCATAATCGAGCCCGACGACCACAACCCAAACCCTTGGCGACTTGCAACCGTGACCCAAGTCGAGGAAATGAAGCTCGTCGTCCACGTAATCCCCATATGGTTCGCGACCATGCCCTTCGCCATAAGCCTTGCCCAAGGCACCACTTTCTTCATCAAGCAAGGCACGACTCTCGACCGCCACCTCGGCCACGACTTCCTCCTCCCGCCCGCCTCGATTTTCGGCCTCGCCGCCATCGCCATGATCGCCATGATCACAATTTACGATTACGCCCTCGAGCCCCTTGCCCGCAGAATCAAGGGCCGCGAGAGGGGCATAACCGTCCTCCAAAGAATCGGCGTCGGCATGGCCATAAACATCCTCGCCATGTTGGTGGCGGCAGTCGTCGAGCGGCGGCGGCTCGACTTTCTCTGGCGACACGGGTCGTCGGCCTCGATGAGTATTTTCTGGCTGGCGCCCCAATTTTTGCTCTACGGTATAGGGGACGGTTTCGCGATAGTCGGGCTTCAAGAGTTTTTTTACGATCAAGTCCCCGACTCGATGAGGAGCCTCGGGATCGCGTTGTATCTAAGCGTTTTGGGGGCGGCGAATTTCTTGAGCAGCTTGTTGATAACGGTGGTCGATAGGGTGAGTGGAAAGGTGGGGAAGAGTTGGTTCGGGAAGGATTTGAATAGTAGTCGGATCGACTATTTTTACTGGCTCTTGGCCGGGATAACGGCTTTGGATGTTTGCGTTTTTGCAGTTATCGCGAGCCGGTACACGTACAAGAACGTGAGCCGGACGGTGAAGAATGCCGTGGCGGATTGTTATGAAGGGGATGGTGATGGAGTTGAAGCTATGGCTTGATGTGTGTATGTAGTGAAAAATGTAATTTTTTTTTTAAGTGTTGTTTTTTGTTGCCATTTTTAATGTTATAATAGTTTGTGTGTTATGGTTTTAGATGTACGGTTTGAGTATTGGAGCTTTAGGTGGGGGATGAGTAACCTAAGGTAGTAAGAATGTAAGATTATGCTGTGAAGTAATGAAGTTTGCTTAAATGATTCAAAAAATTAAAGTAAATGTTTGAATTGTTCAATTAATAAATTCTAAACTTTGTTATTGAAAAAAATAAAAATAAAAATATTATTCAATGTTGAGAAATTTATATTTGGATGTCTTCCAAATATAATAGGACGAGTAGTAGTAGTTTACATATTATCAAACATGCAATCAAATGTCATAACAAAGCTTCTCCAGCCCTTTGCGTCATATTTGTACTCTAGTGCAAAAAACTTGTTTTAATGTTGCGCTACATTTTCGTACTAATCTAAAGATATGAACTTTATTGCATACATGTAGCACGGTTCTATTCATCGCGCTACAATTTTTTCTTTAGATTTTAGTTTTTTAATTAATTTTTATTTATAAATATTATTTTGATAAAATATACATCAATAAAATTATTTATTTTGTTAAATAATTTAAACTTTTGATTTTATAGTTGTATTTAATTTTATTTTATAATACATTTCATGTATAGTAAAATATAGCGCGAATAGCTGGGAACGAAAGTTACATTTTGGCATTTTCTACTCTAAAGTAGAGTAAACTCTACACTAAAGTAGAAAAAAAGATTAGAGATGGTCTAAATATTACACTATGATATTTTTTATTATTTAAATAATTGATGGATTCTTTTCGAATATGAAATTCTTAAAACACACAGATTACACATGGACCAATGTATTTGATCAAAAAATTACACCGAATTAGGGTTTTTAATAAGGTTGTTAAGCTGTTGAAATTCGATATAATATACTGAATTTATGGGAAAATAGGTTAAAAGAGGTCGGATATTGTTAGTGAGCTCAGGTGCTAGCCTTTAATGCTGTATTAAATGGGAGAATATATGTCTTAAGTTCCGATGTTTTTATGAATCATTTTACAATGGATTCCTATGACTATTGATAGTAAAACGACCCGACTACTGTTAATCGGACAGTACAATAAGACATTAAATAGAAATGACATGCACTAAATGCGACACATGACCTCTAAAGTTATTACGTTGACTGACATACTTTTTGATGGGTGAGTGCCATCTTTAATGATTCGGTTGCAAGTTGTCATCATTTAAGTATTATCTGCCGCCTTAGTGCGCTTAGCTTGGATCTTCGAAGTCAGCTATCGTCTTATTGTATTTAAGTCTTGATCTCGAATTTGTTGACGTTGATGTGTTCCAGGTTGACCTCATCCTTAAGGTTTTCCAACCTGGATGTCCTATTTGACCCTCGTTGAGTTTTAGGCTGTTTTTAACATTCGGGTCCGGCTTTCACTCTTAATTCTCGATCCAATCATTCGACTCGGCTATTTCTTCACTTAGCGATTATATTTAATTTCGGACCCGCCCAACTCAGTTCGGATGTAAACATATTGTTAAACATACATATACATAATATAGTATGTAAATTTATTTTTTTTTTGGGGGAAAATTTCATGACGAGGCTAACTTTTTAAATTATATCAATTGAAGGCCTGAATTTTATTCTTTCTCAATAGAAGACTTACATTTTAGATTATTCTTAATTTAAGGCTCACTTTTGTAGTTAACTTTTCATTGGAAGTTTTAACTAACTTTACTTTTTGACAAAAATATGTAAACCAATTAGCTTATTTTATGATATAGTTATGTGAAAAAAATTATTTTTTTTTTTGTAATTTATATTTTACATACTAATAATAAATATCTTTAGTAAAATTTCATTATAAAAAATTAAATTATATAAATATACTTATAAAAAAAGTTTAATAATGATTATTTAAAAATTCATAAGCGAATTGAAAAAATATGTAATGAAAATATTATTTTTATTAATAAACTAAATATGTACTATGGTATTAATTTTTGCGTAAAAACATTTAAAATCCTGAACTAAAATGAAGTCAAAATTATTTAAATATTATTATTTTATTTTATTAAACATTTATATTATTACTAAAACTAATGTTTTAATTGTATAATTTTCAAACTAACAATTTTTAAATTAATTATTATTATATTTTTGCATAATTGTAATTATATAGTTTCATTTTCTTATTAATGTAATGTTTAAAGATATTTAATATTTTCTTATTATAATTATGTANTTAGTAATTCGTATAATTATTATTACTTTTTTCTTTAACTTAGATTAACCCCTTTATATAAACTAAATTGACCTTACTCTCACCGAAAGGGAAAACAACACTAATTATGAATTAATTAATTGCAGCTCATAAGAAATAATAATAATAGTAATTAAAAAAATAGAAGTATCTTTCTCTGCAAAAAAAAGAGGTGAACGTATATAATTTAGTTATCTTTCTGTAGTCCACCTGCTTATTATATAAAGTTTAAATGGATTTGGGGCGCCCCTTCAAACAATTCACAACCCATGAGTTATATAATTTAGAAGTATATTTATTTTATTTTCCCAAGTCTTTGCTTTATGTACACTGTTTCACCCAATTCATATGCATTTTCTTGTGATTCCTAGATCTCAGTATTTTTATTTCTTTCTTTTTTTTTTTTTTTGGTACAAAAAAGGAGGCGAAGGCCTTAGACTATAATGTTGCGAGGATAAAAAAAACCCCAATAATATCGTGATACAACCACGGTTTTACTCCCGTGGGTGGGTCGTCAAAAACATGGAGCCCACTTGGCATGGTCGAGGCCATCGACACAAGGTAGTCTGCTGCGAAATTCAGTATTTTTATTTCAAAATCCACCTTATAGCTCTCAGTATTTTAGGTCTATCGGTATTTAAAAATTATTTTGAGATAGTATTCAAGGTTTCATTATAACTCGTACATAGCTCGTGCGATGCACGAGACACATATATTAAATGAGTCATTTTTATAGGACTTGTCTGTTTAAGCACAAAAAATAATAAGTCAAATCATCCATTTTCTATATCTTTTAATAAGTGATTTTTATTTTAATCAGAACATTAACATGTTAGTTAATATATTATTGCATTAACAAATCATAATAATATAAATTTAGTTTTAGAATACATATTTTTTCATTGATATAAGAAAGAAATAAAATTATTACTTATTTTTGTTTACCATATAATAATCAATTATTATTTTATTATAAAATTTATTGGCATATAATTTCATTTTTATTATTTACAAATTTTATAGAAGTAGTCTACTTCTTCTTCTTCTTAATTTATGTTATTAAAATTATTTAATGTATGTAAATATTACTTATTAATGTAATAAATTTAAACTTATGTAAATAAATTTAAAATAAATATTTTGTATAAATGTTTACAAAATACACACACATGTTTTTAGAATTTAATTTTCTAATAATAAATAAAAGTTTTTGATTTAGCAATTTCCAAAAAATAAATTTTTATATAATCAAGAGATTTTTCTAATTTGCATCCTAAGGCTTTATAGTTTATTTATATGCAATGAAAATATATTTTACATTAAATTCATTAAGGAAATAAAATCAAAATAAAAAAATGATAAAACAAATTATCATGGTTGCCAATAATATACAAATAAATCAAATATTAAAATTTTTAAAAATAGTTAATATATCTTAATTTTATTATCTGGTGCTTAGTAAAATTATTTAATGTATCTGATCATTATCTTTTAAATGGTAAATTATTTTAATTTAAAATATCACTTATTTTTTATATAATTAAATAAAAGTTAAAAATATTGTCGGAAAATATTAATTTACCAACTTGATTTCGCCTAATTAGTTTGAAGGAAAAAATTTCTTAACATGTTACAATTGTTTATAAATAATTTAGGATGAAAGTCAATATTTGTGAAAAATAAAATAATAATATGATTAAGACTTAAAATCTATTTTCATGTTTATGTTGACTAAAATATTATCAACATGAATCATGGAAAATCAAATTGTAGTTATTATATGGGTATCAATAAAATCATTTAAGAATAGAATCTTTCTGATCATATCTGATTTGAAAACGTGTATGTGAAGAAATTAATACATATATTTAAAAACTATTTAAATAAGGTATGCATTAAATGTTCCCAGATTTTTTTGCTACTATTTTGAGTAAATGGTTATTATCTTTATATAGGTATAGAAATACATATCTGAAGTACGTTAATTTGTCTTCAATGACTTATAATAGCTCTGCATAATATAATGTCCTATATATGGTCTCTAATTAAAAGTTCAAGTTACATATTTTAAACCAGATACATTTAATTAATCTCAAATTATCATAAACAAAATTGTGACACTAAAAATAGTTGTCAGCTGAAAAAGCCACTAATTACTTGTAGGCAGCTGCCTAATTGAATCATTTTTATTCAAATTTCTAACAGAAATTAACTTTATTTCAATGAATCACCCTGCGAAATTTCTCCCAAAGTTGACTAATTAAGGAACGAGATCCAATCTGTATGGTGCAATTAATAAACACCATTAGTGTCATTAATTACTTTTTAATTAAGTACCATTAAATGTAGTAGCTTGCAGGTAGGATTATATTTATATTTGTCATGCGTGCTAAATTGACTAATGAATTTTGTGACATATACATGGCCTTAATATAATACCTCTCACGTGCAGGTCATTAGCTACTACATTACTACCAACTATAAACATTAATATTGTTTGGCAAATAAGCGTCATGAGGAAAAACCATTTAATTTCAGATATATGTAAATCAATAATTATTCATGTGTTTGTCAAATATAATTTCTATTAAATCTCTCAATTTATAGCTTATTTTCGGGGATTTTCCCCCGATAACTTTCAAGAGAACCAATATCTTATGGTGTAAATTAGAATTAGGAGATATGCTACAAAAAAAAATTATAATATGATAATGAAAAAATATTCCAACTGAAAATTCACAGACGTTGCAATGCATTACTTCAGTTAGAAAGTTCCAATGGATAATTAACTGGAGATTAAAACTAAAACATTTGGTTGGAATTAAATATTTATTGAAATTCCACTTGGAATTTAATGATTCTAATAATCATCTTTTTTCAATGGTTTATTTTTAGAAATTTTTATTTAATTTTTTTTACTATATTTCAACTGTTGGAAATCCAACAAAAATTTGAACGAAAAATTAATTTCAACTGGCTATTTTTGCTGGGATTTCGTTTGAATACTCTAATGGAGTAACAACATTGTAATATATTCATTTGAGTAGTTGTACTGGAATTATCCATTTAAATTTTTTGTCAGACTTACATTATTTTCTTGTAATTAACTTGTACGTAATTTTAAATGGAATAATAGTCAAACTACAAATGAAAAATATAACTTAAAAACGAGATTAATCTACAACTGATCAATGGAGAGCTAGAGTAATTAAGTTTCTTTAACTTACTCCTTCTAGTGCTATTAGTGGTTAATTTGATAATATTTGTGAATTAACAGAACTTGTGGTTGGATAAGCTTACGTAGACACTAAATTCCAATAAATTACTTTACACTAATTACAGAAAATATTATTCTGCTATGATATGATTTTCCATACATAATTATGGTTAGATAACCTTACATTATTGACTCTAAAATCCAATTAAGTACTTTACACTAATTACACCAGAAAATATTAATTTTGTTTAATGATAAGGTTTACCTTTCTTAAATTGTGGTGGGATAATACCTTGCATTTGACGCTAAAATCCAATGAAGTACTTTACACTACTTAGTACTTACACCAGAAAATATTATTTTTCTTCCTGTTATAATGTTTTTTCATACTTAGTCTCCTTTATAGAGGTACATAACCTCAACTGATTATTAAATTAATTATTTTCTGATTCAGGTGACAAAGTTTGCGGTTGTCTCACCTGATGGATGCAAAAAGTATAATTAGCTNTCATTTGAGCGCATTTATATATATGACGTAAATATATATATATATATATATATATATATATAATGGGTCGCGCTCCGGTGAGAATGGTTCTTAATGCAAGAAATGAGAATAAATCGTAGCCATTAGATCGGATGATCTAATGGCTAAAAAAAAGTCAATATTATATCTTCATTAAGAATATTTTTGTTATAATTACACATCACCAATACATCACCATGCCACATCACCCCTCACACACATAACACACACGCAACACACGTAGCCACGCACACACACACACATCACCACACACTTACACACTCTCCCATAAACTCTTTCTCTCTCACACAATTCACACACATACCTTTTACACACAGTTACACACACATACACAGACCCGTCCGTCGTCCGCCATCGACGGCCGTCGCCCGTCATCACCGACTATCATCCGCCATCGCCGGCGGCTCCCAGCAGCGTTCTCACAGACGGAATTCAACCATGACATCTGCACTCGCTGTCACGTTGTCGTCTGTTCACGTCGCCGACGTCCTCGTGTCGTACGCCGTCGTCTTCTTCACACAGAGACCTCACGCCGCCGTCTGCAACACAAACCAAAAAAAAAAAAGAAAAAAAAAATCCAGTCGCCGCCGTCGGAGCCAGCCGAAACGACGCCACCAAAGCCGTCGATTTCGAAGTCGACGTCTAAATTGCCGCTGTTTACCGCCTGAACATACGCAAATTAGGGCCGATGCTCGTCGCCCGTGAAATTTTCGGCCGCCGCTGCGAGCTCTCCGTGAGTCAGGCGGTTGGCAATGGCTCGTAGGCTTCCTCTCCGGCGAGAGGATAGACGATGGGGCGGTGCGGCAGGTCGGAGGTTCGCCTTCGGTGGTGGAACGGCTGAGGAGATGGTTTTAGGGCTGAGGACTATTATTTGAGAATTCAATAAGTTGTAAGGATTGATTTGCAATTTGAAGAGTTTTTGGTTAATTGCAATTGAAACCTTGGGGTCAATATATAAATTCAAAAAGGTGTAACTATATTCCAATTTAGCCCATGGGCCAATCTGTAATTTATAGAAATAATATAAATACTTTATCATTTTGTATATATTTTTTATACATGCCAAAAACACTATGAAATTATTATATAAAATATTAAAATTTAAAATATACATGTTTATTAAATTTACAAATTAAAATTAGGGATTTATGGTATAATTGATTTTTCATAAATAAATAAATACATAATTCGATTTATGGTTTAATTTATAATAATAAATAATTTAGGTTAATTCAATTTTTCAATTATGTCTACTAATTCTAGGTTTCAAAAATACATAATTTATATGGGATCATATAAATTAGTGCACTTTATATATCATCAAATTGCACTTTATAGCACATCACGTTGCACTATGAAAAACAATACGTTGCACTTTATCATCACACTCGACATTTTATTAGCACTTCATTTTATACATCAGTATGTTGCACTTTATAAAATATCGAGTTGCTAATATGTAAAATTTTAATATATAAAAATATCAAAATAATATATATAATTTTATAATAATAAATAATAATTTATTTAAATTATTTAGGTTAATTCGATGTTCAATTACGTCTACTAATTCTAGGTTTCAAAAACACATAATTTATACGTGATCATATAAATTAGTGCACTTTATATATCATCAAATTGCATTTTATAACATAACACGTTGAACTTTATCATCGCACTCCACATTTTATCATCGCTTCACTTTATACTTCAGTATGTTGCACTTTATAAAATATCTAGTTGCACTTTACAGAACACCACGTTGCACTTTAACCGCTGTCAGATTGCACCATATAAATCGGAACCAACCGAACTCAAATTTTTTAAGCTTGAAATAAGATAAAAATAATAAATAAAATTATTAACATATTAAATATAATCTTGATATAAATAAATTACTATTTCTATTATTTGGGTTGCCCGAACCAAAAATATTGATTAATTATGTTCATTTTCAATTTGACTCGGGACAAGCGTTACTCGGGACAAGCGTTCGGTTGGTTCGATATGCACAATACAGACTAACACCTTGCACTATAGTGTTGGACGAGTTGCACTTTAATAACTGTTAGATTGCACTGTATATTTTATGTACGTATATACTAATTTTTTTAATCAAACAATAATATATAAATATTAATTAAAAAAATAAAATGGTAATAATAAAATTTATGAAAATTTAAAGTGAATAACCACATATATATATATATATATTGTTAAAACTATTTATCAACAACCTATATTTAATATATTTTTAAGATGTATAATTGAGCAACAATTATATTCTAATCAATTCTTCAAATAAACAATCCCAGCAAGTGACTATTTCAATTACAGTTTTAAAATTTGCAAATTAGCCCCTCTAGTGTATCTAATCTACATACAAAAACCCTACAATTCCCATTCAAAATTATGAACGAACAAACAGATCCACAATCACAATTTTTTTTCCCGGTCGTCCATCTCCTTCAGCAAACCGCCGCCGTCGGACCGCCGTCGCCGTCGCGCCGCGGCGAAGCAGACACATCTCTTCGTCTTCCTCCGCCGCCGCCTTGCATAACCTTCGTCCGCCGGCTCGCCGCCTCATTTCTGTAAGTCGGCTCGACGTCTCGTCTCCGTCAACAAGCACGTATCTTCCTCTCCGTCCATCACTGCGTCGCAATGCCGCCGTCCGCTGTCGTCCGTCCCGCGTCGCTTCGGTTCCGTCCGCCGCCGTGTCGCTTCACCCCCGTCAGCCGCCGTGTCGTCTCGCCTCCGTCAGCCGCTGCCTTTGGTCGGAGTGTGTGTGTGTGTGTGCATTTTCGTGTGTGTGCAGGTGTGTGTGTGTGTGTGTGCAGAAGTTTGTGTGTGCTGCGTGTGAGTAAAGTTCATGTAAGTGTGTGTTAGTGTGTGAGAGAGGGTGGGGACTTGTTAATGAAGGGGTGGGCCCCACGTGGTGTAGGCTGGATGATTGTATTTTAATGACCAATTTGTCCCTATTTAGTAGTCAAATGTAAATATTTGAACAAAGATTATACACTTATTTACAAAACTGCCACTCATGTTTGACTGTCACATTTAATTTTTGACTTGATCAAGGTTATTGATATGTTGGATCCAATGATCCAGACTCATTCTCATTTCTCGCATTAAGAGTCATTTTCATATGATCCTTTCTTTATATATAATAATAAATTTTTGTTTTGAAACTCAGGTTTATGTCCAAAGCTCACGCAATATTTATTAATGAATAAATTTGTCATTTTTGTTACAGTAAGTTGACTAGTGCCCATAAAAGTATATCAATTTGATGCACATTAAGCTTAATAAATAAATACGGAAAAAACATAATATATATAATATACTTTATATACTAATTATGAGAGTGTGGGATAAAATTATGATGTTATTTTTGTTGTACTAGCCATTTCAGAGTCTTTCAGTGTTCATTTAGGTGGGTGACTCGTTATTGGATTCGCCTCTCGAGACATTCGTATATGTAAATTTTCAGTTCAATCGAAGATTATTTATGCACAATTAACTTTTTGTACAAAATCGTCAAAAAACCGAATTCATTATGCATTATGACTACCCAACATTCGTTCTAGTTGAGACATACGTACCCACAAATTTTTAAATTTCCATCCACTCCCTCAAATTTCCATCCAAATTTGTCCTAAATTCAAATTCATGCTCAAGTTTTCATCCAAATTTGTCCTAAACTCAAATCCGTTCTCTTTCCCAGGGCCAATTATAGTACCATCCAGCATCCGTTTAAATCTGCTATTTACTGACTCACAGTTGGATTTGTCTCGTATTTTTAAAATTTCCTTCTTTTCTCTTTATCCATTATCCATTAATGTATGAAAGCATCCATATAGTCACCATCACATGCAAAAGTCTTACCCGCAAAGCATGCTAGATTCTTGATCTATATAACAAGAGCCAACAGAAAGTAAACAATCTCATACATTCTCAAAAAAACAAAAAGTAAAAAAATTCTCATCAAACTCTTTCCATTTTAGGAATCTAATAGTAGTATAGTACTAACCTCTTTTAGTACACAACACGCTCACAAGTTATGGAGAGAGAGCAAAAAACGGACAATGAAAAATGGGTGCTCGACTCATCACTCGACCGTAAAGGAAGAATCCCTCTCCGTGCAAAAACCGGTTCATGGAAGGCGGCCCTTTGCATTATAGGTAGCTATATAATGCAGTTCCAAAAATATGTATAGAATTTTTTTATTTTTATTTTTTTTTTCCTTTTTTGTTTACCTTTTAGAAAAGGTGGGCCAAAAAAGGCTAACTTTGGATGATGAATTTTTCAGTGATTGAGTTTAGTGAGTGGCTAAGCTCCTTTGGAATAGCCACAAGCTTGATCATATACCTTCCGAAAGTGATCGGTCAAGACGTGAAAACGGCCGCAAAGAACGTTAACTATTGGTCGGGCGTCACTGCCACAATGCCATTGGTTGGCGCTTTTCTTGCCGATTCTTACATCGGCCGGTTTTGGACTGTCATGGCTGCCTCCGCTCTCTATCTCCTGGTAAAAAGCACAAATCAAATCTCAATCTTTAATTGTATTTTGGTGATGTAATTGAACAAAAACGAGTTGAGTTTGAGTTTGGACATTTGGAGCTTGTGTTCCTTTATGTTCGAATACAGTCAGGCGAAAATTTGTGTTCAAGCTCGTCCATTGGTCAAAGTTCGAGTTCGAATAATTTAGTAAAACAAAGTTTTTATAATTGTTTGATGGACACGAAGATGTAGTGGTTCGAACATGTTGAGCTCGAAAATAATAATAATAATAATAATAGAAATATTTTCATATTTTTTATTTTAATTTAAATATATATAATGTTTGCGGACATTATCGAATGTTCGGGAACAAGCTCTACTGAACGAACCTAATTTTCTGCTCGAACTCGACTCGTTTTACACCAAACGAACGAGTTTTTGTTCCCCAACGTTCGGTTCATTAACAACCGTAAAATAAGCCTCCTTTTTTTGTCATTTCTCTAACTTTCTTGATTTATGTTTGGTGTGTACAAACAGGGGTTGCTCTTGCTGACCATGACAAGTGTGGCCCCTGCCCTGAAGCCCTGTGCTGGCGACACCTGTCCCGAGGCTCGGAAAATCCACGCGACGTTCTTCTTCCTCGCGATTTACCTAATCGCGATAGCAAGTGGCAGCCACAAGCCGACCCTCGAGAGCTTCGGTGCCGACCAATTTGACGACGACCACCCGGAGGAGCGCAAGAAGAAGATGTCCTTCTTCAACTGGTGGAACTCTGCATTGTGTGCCGCGTTAATATTTTCGTCGACCGTGATCGCCTATGTGCAGGACCACGTTAGTTGGGCCGCGGCCGATGTCGTTTTCATCTCCGTCATGGGCTTTTCGGTGGTGCTATTTTGGGCTGGTCGGCCGCTCTACCGCTTCCAAAAGCCCGCGGGTAGCCCATTCACGCCGCTAGCTCGTGTGCTTGTCGCCGCTTTTGTCAAGAGGAAGCTTCCATGGCCGTCGGGGAGTGATGGGCTTTACGAGGTTCCGATGGGGGACAAGGCGGCTCGGGGGAGGCTCCTTGTCCGCACGGATCGACTCAAGTTTGATTTTTTCATTTTTTTTTTAATTTCTTATTTTTACTTTTGTTCCGATTATTCGTAGTTATATTTTTTTATTTCATAGAAAGGAAAAATTCGAACCTACCCGTGTCAGTAGTGTGTTTGTGTGTAGATCAGCGGATCGAATTCTGTTTTTTCGGTTAAAAAAAATGGCATGTGTAGAGAGTCGAATCGCTTACACTCAAGCAAACGGTCGTTTAATCGTGTTTATTTTTCTTTGTCCGAAAGGTTTCTCGACAAAGCTGCAATCATCGAGAACGGACAACAAAGCCCGCCCGACGAGCCAAACCCGTGGAGACTAGCGACCGTGACTCAAGTCGAGGAGCTAAAGCTCGTCCTCAACGTGATCCCCATTTGGATGACAACCGTACCCTTCGCCACAAGCCTAGTGCAGGCGACCACGTTCTTCATCAAGCAAGGGTTGACGCTCGACCGCACGCTCGGTCGACACAACTTCTCCATCCCGCCCGCCTCAATGTACGCCTTATCCTCGGTCGGCATGATTGCCATGATCACAATTTACGATTACGCCCTTGAGCCCTTCGCTCGGAAAATCACGGGCCACGAGAGGGGCATAACCATCCTCCGGAGGATCGGCATCGGCATGGCCGTATGCATCCTCACCATGTCGGTGGCGGCCGCCGTCGAGCGGCGGCGGCTTGACTTGGTCCAACGGGACACGGCCCGCGGGTCAACCTCGATGAGCATTTTCTGGCTAGCACCACAATTTTTGCTAATCGGGATAGGGGATGCGTTTGCGTTCGTCGGGCTTCAAGAATTTTGCTACGGCGAATTGCCCGACTCGATGAGGAGCTTGGGGGTCGCGTTGTACTTTTGCATGCTTGGGGCCGCGAGTTTCGCGAGCAGTCTTTTGATAACGGTGGTAGACCGTGTGACGAGAATTGGTGGGAAGAGTTGGTTCGGAAAGGATTTGAATAGTAGTCAGCTCGACTGTTTTTATTGGTTGTTGGCCGGGATCACGGCTTTGGATGTTTGCGTTTTCGCGGTCCTTGCTAGCCGATACACGTACAAGAACGTGAGGAGGTCGACGAGGAACGCGGTTGCCGATTGTTATGAGGGGGAAGATTGTGTTGAAACATTGGCTTAGATATGTGCCTTTGTCTATGTGTGTGTGGAGTTCTTTTTGGTATTTTGTTGTTTTGATACAATGTTGTTTACTATTTTGAATGTTGTAGACTTGTACTAGGGTTAAAGATAGGATTGTTGATTTGAGATTGGTATGATTTTGCATCCTAGCTTTGTGAGGAAGACTAGATGTAAGGCAATTTGCAATAAATTGAGTGCTATCTCATAAGAAAATAACATGTAATGCACATGCGGGTACGAGTTAATATATTCACTAGTTGGGTATGCGGTCAAAAATCTCACAAAATCTTGAGATACTGTTGATGGACACATCTTAATCTGTTCAATGAGAAATTCAAAATTTTCAAATTCATATTCAAATAATAAATAGGTAACTGTGGTTACGAGTGATCGAAATCTTAATTTGTTCACCGATGAGAAATTCTGAAGAGAATAAAATGGTAAACAAGTGTTTACTTTGCTTAAAAAATGGTGAATGTTAATATGTTATATAATCCCATCACCGTGAAAAAGCCGTCTTAAGCAAATAAAAAACTTCCCCCTCACAATATCTAAACACCAAATCCTATTTTCATTGATTGCACTATAGTCACTAGCAGTGCAAGTTATATAAAATTTATACAATACTATGAATAATTTGGAAACAACAGTTAATTGCACATGGAGAATTCCTTCTAGGGACCAAAAAAAAAAAAAATATAGAATAAAAGACAAATCATTTCCTTATTTTTCAGCCAACAAAATCATGCACGATCTGCTGCTGCCCATCCAAGACCTCCCTCCCAAACTGCCGATTGTGGGCCACGTACTCCTCCCCTGGCTGCAAGTCCAGCCCAAACCGTCGGGCTGCATTTATCGGATACGAGTCCGGCAGGCCCAGCCCATTCTGGTGAAGGCCCAAAGTTAAAGAGACCCCACCACTGCCCATGCCAGCATGCAAGTGATTATTATGATTGTTGTTAATGTTGTTATTATTCGGCATAAAGCTGTCGTAAGGCAATATGACGGGCCCGTGGTTCTTTTGTCGTGGAGTGTTGTTGGTCGGGTCTTCTCGGGTTCGTTTGGAGGGGAATCCGGGTGGGTATGGGCTGTCGAATTCAATCGGGCGGGTCGTGGGCGTGTGCTCATTATTGCTTTTGTTTGGAGATTGTTCGGATTTTGATGAAGAGGAGTTTTGGCCCTGCTGACGTGTCTCGAGCGTGTGAATCTCCTCTACCATCGGTTTCCACAGCCTTACTCTTGCGTTTATGAACCAATTCGAGACCTGGTTTTAATTTGAGAAGTCATGTAGAGTTGTTAAGTACCCTTGAAGTTAACCTAATTGTAATGAATGTTGTGATGACTCGTTTTTCGACATTACAAGGAAAGAAGAAACGGACTCAATGTTCGTTCGGTGTTGAAGTCTCAAGAGGCCAACTATTGGGCTTGTATGAATGTGAATTTGAACATTTGAAATGTTTTTTGAGAGGTAAATGTAACGCAAAAAAACGAAAAATGAAGGGTTTTATTTTGTGTTTCTAAAAGTTAGAGCAATTTTTGTCGATAACGACTCTTGCAAGTATAATACAAAGATAGGGTAAAAAAAATCATTGCAAAGCTGCAAACGAGCCGAGCCGAGTCCAGCACTGGCCTTATCGAGCAAGATTGTTTTTTTTACCTGCTCGAGATCGACTCGATAAAAGATGATAATCGCTTGAGCTCGGCTCGAGATCGATGGAAATCAAAATGCTCGACAAATTGCTCGAGCTCAGCTCGAGTTCGAGTCGAATTTCAAGTAAAATTACCAATAAGTACATATATAAAATATTGTAATCTTTATATATAAGGGGTATCTTAATAATTCACTATATATCTCGCGAGTGGCTCGACCTTCCAAAACCTATGTTCGAGATCAACTCGATCACATGCTCGACCACTCGAGCTCAGCTCGAGTTCCATCAAACTCGAGCTCGAGCCGCTCAATTTGTTTGTAGCCCTAGCAACAACGGTGGAAGCGCGAACTTGAAAATGGCTTAAGAAACGATGTTCTAAACTGCAAACACCTCCATATTATTATTGTTTGAATGCAATGCACAAATTTTGCCCTCAGCATGTGGATTTTTTCGTTAATAAACTTGCAAACCTTAATGTGACATATATCAGTAACTAAAAAGCTTCAAACTTTTTACCATCTAATCAAGGATAATTATGAAAGATTTCGTAATTTATCTTTTCGTTCGATTTTCCAGAAGTCGAGTTTACCTGATTCCTAGACAAACCCGTCTGTTTTGCCAGCATTAGCTTGTCAGTATCGGTCGGGTAACTGCATTGATTAGTTTTCACCATCATCAGTCATTATCTCGAACTACAAACAATTATTTACAAGGTCATAATGATTAAATAAAAAAAAGCTTACTTACGGATGTAAAAAATGTTCGAACAACCAAGCTCGGAGGACTGTGACAGCATGTTCCGGAAGACCTCTCTGTGGGCGCCACACGGGCGGCGGCGGGTCCACAAATCCGGCACCACCGTGAAACGGTCTCGTGCAGTAAGCACTACTTTTTCCTGAATTTTCGAGCCTTTGAGTACTTTCATCTCGATCAGAGCTGTGAGATTTCGACAGCTGGTCGGTTATGGCGTTTTTTAGATATGTGAAGTGTTTGGACATTGCTTTTAAGGACAGGTTAGCAAAAGGTGCTGCGCTGCTTAAACCGGCAACCGATTCGAATGCTGCTACAGCAGCTTGCATTTGTTGGTAATATTGCTTATATCTCTTATAAACCTTGGAGAAAAAAAGGAGAAAACGTGAATGAACCAAGAAATGAGAATAACTTCACTTGAATTGAAATTTTAGGATGCAAAACATCAATGAATATGTATGTTTTTATGCAGCTACTTAACAAAAAACGACTATCTATATCGAATATCGAGTCGGGCAAGTGAATATCTTTTTTTATTTAGGCAGATAAACCGAGTGGATGAATACCATGCTAAGGTAAACATACTTCCTATAGAATCTAAACTCTCGAAGAAAATTGCTGATAAATTTCATTGCCTCCATTCGCAAACCTTCCGAAGTTTTGAAATTTGGCAAGAAATGATCGATCGACACCCAATACTATGATGCATTTAGACATTGTACGTGAAAGAACCTCGTTCGACCCAAGAATAATTTGAAATGAAGCATATAGTCAAAAGAGTAGATACTATATTAATTATACTACCATTGATAATTTTTTTCAGCATTTGTAGATTTATGCAAGCTCACTAAAAGCACCAAGCATGCCAATTAAATGGAAGGCAAATCACTAGAAAAACCTAGCTACTTTAAAAAGTACTAGCATCTTATATAATACCAAAAATAATTAAATGAGCCAACATAACTATGAAATAGAGTTGTTATGAGCTAGCATTCATGACATTGTTGAGTACAACATATACTAAACCATGTTTACTGAACTCAATTTAAATTATTCAGTTTGCTAGCTCGAACTTTGCAAGTCATAAACCGCAACCTTAACATATTCACCAAGTTTACTAAGTAGTGGGAACACAAAGAATCACATTCTCCCACTTAAAACATGAAAAGAGAAAAGAAAGAATAACAAACCCATTACTAAATACATTTTTCAGCTGTGGACTACATAATTAAATGCTAACTGCACACATTATCTGCAGAATAAACCTTTTTCAACTGATTCTCCCAAAAAATGCATAACTTTACGCAAAGATACAAACTAAACTCAGAACTCACACTTGAATTGCCAGACAATCCGGACCAATTAATCCTAGTGCATATATTCTACATTCAAAGCTTCAAGCTTTTTAATAAATTGCAGTACTAAAAGAAGCTGTAGCCCTACCACTCAAGAATCTAGATCTCATCAAATTCAAACTCAAAAAAAAAAACATTAAAGACCCATTTTTTTAAACACAGACAACCAAAGGTAATTGCTTTTCTTTATCAATTTTT